GCGTTCAGAACAAATTCCTAACTGAGTCAGGAGCCGGTCGATGGGAAACGGCCGAGAATTAGCTGTATATGTATTGTTTCCAACTGTCCAACTTAATTCCCCCACAGAAACCCTCATCGCAGAAAACCGGGACCCAACGCCACAGGTTCGCGAGCAGATGGAGAAGAGTGAATAACGGTATGATAGATTGCTCAATGATGCCAGGCATAATATCGTCATTTTGTGATCTCTTGCTACCACTCCCTGAAATCAAATCTCGGACCAATGCCCGTTATCCGTTCGTTCCCCCTTCAACACATCCATCGACTCATTTCTGTCTCAATATGACGAAACAGCAGCAGCAATCGGCTCTTTTTTTTTTAAAAAAAAAAAAAAGCTGCTCATTAGTACAAAGAATGCTTTTCCTCATGTACTAAGTACACGCTGATACGATGTCTTTCGTGTAGAGATACTAATCGTCATATGCTCCTGTCTTAGTTCTTTCCTTGACTTGACTTCACAGCGCCGACTGACCCTGGCCACGTGCCCTCTTCGATGCAGGCAGCTGAGGCTCGCAATCCATCTCAGACGCGCTTCGACGTCGCGAGGGCGTTGCACTCCTGCTAGAGTCTTCCGAGCAACCGCCTGAGCCCGTCGACCTGTCTACGGCTGTGGCTGTCGAGCTGACGCTACCAGTGCGCTGCTTGAGGTAGGTTGCATGGCGGTTTCTGAGAACGTCTGCAATAATAGACTCTGTGCCGACAATATTGTGAGAGCCCTCGACCGTCATGCCGGCATCGACTTCAATCTTGACAGGTCGAGGGCGGCCGTCCTGGTCGATCATCGGAATGCCGCCCTCCATGACGGTGCTGCTCTTGAAGGCGCGGACGATGGCCTCTGCGACAAGGGAAGCCTGATCACTGGGGGTGCTCGGCAGCGCGACGAGGTTGTTATCTCGCGAGACGTTGACTCTCGTCGAGATGCGCAGGTTGATAGGGGACAGCTCCTCAAAGGGGTCGTCGTCAGGATCAGGGGAGGTCAACATGGTAGCGGACGGCAGTGGAGCGGCCAGCAGGCGGTGACCTAGCTGGCGGAGACTGGCGTTTGGGTTGCTCATTAGGGTGGCTGCGATGCCTTCCTGAAGACGGGTGGGCATAGGGGGGCTATAAGCAGGAGGAAGCTCCTGCCGGGCAGATGGAACACCCTGCTTTGGGGCTTCAGGCATTCTTTGCGGTCTCGTACAGCTCGACTGTGAGGAGAGATGGCACTGCATATGTCTTTGGGGCTGTTGAGGTGACAGCAGCAGTACTTGTTGTCGACGAGGCTGTTGCTGCTGCTGCTGTTGTGACTGTTGAGGATTTGATTGGTCAGAGTCTTGGGGTTGAATTGCGGTGACTTGTTGCTGGCCTGGGTCATCCATGAAGGGCAACATACTCGACCGTCGAATGTTGAGAGTTGGGGTGAGGTCTTGGGTCTTGGGTCTTGGGTGAGGCCTTGACGTCTCGTCGTGATGCTCAAGGTACAGAGCTATCTACGCAGAAGACTAAACAGGGGGGACGAAATACATTGGGCCTGTGATCGTAGCCCCAGGATATGCGAATGAAGGGGAGGGATGCTATATATGTTCGTCGACAGGTGGTCGAGCCCGCGTGTAGACTGGACGAGTATTGATCGGGCCACTCGCTGCCTTTGAGCCCGAGCAGTCAAGTAGATCCAATCCTTCGGTTAGCCGCCTGACTCAATCTTCAGCGACCTGGGTACAGGCAGCCATGCAGACAGGTAGCTGCCCGGGATTGAGTGGAGTGGAAGGGCGGGGGGTGAGTGTACAAACATGCTCCGAGTGTAGGTACAGGTATTCTCGGGCGCTTAAGCGTTTCGAGGCTGTTCAGATTCACCCATTGCAACTCCCTTCGTATACTCCCCGCACTCCCTCCCACCCCACCCTCTTGTAGCTCTTCCAGGGTGCCATGACACGCCACTGCCGAGCAGAACTCAAGCCAATAAAAAAAAAAAAAGGAAAAGAAGAGGAAGAGCAGCTCACTTCAAAAGGGCTCCAACAAGTGTGACGCTCTGCAGGGCTGCCCTCGCACGTTCGAACTTCAAATCATCGGACGATGGGCAAGGCAAAAGGAGCCTTGCTCCAAACGGCCCCAGCTGATATGCTACCCATCAGGTGAGATTCTCCCGGAACAAATACACCAGGGCGTATTTTTTGTGTATATGGTTTTGGCTCCTATTCATGCAATCGTCCGGTGGGAATCCAACATCGTCTCCTGATCTGACCACTCCAGTACGACAGGCCTGTCGAGTCAACAGGTCTGAATAGCATGGGGCGATCAAGTAGCGAAGGTGAAAAACCTGCTTCCGCCTTGTCTCATACGGCAGCCATAGCCCAAAGTCAATAACATCCAGGACAGGTCAAGGCCCGTGTGTGAGAGATGACACGTCCTGCCCCATCCGTTCGTTCCTCCAGGGCCCACAGACCACATGGCCTGTCTCGAGAATAATAGGAAGAAAGCACTTCGTGTCTGTTCTCAGGACAGTTCCTTCCGCATAGGAGATGGACAGCTCAGTAAGGTATACTTAGGTAGCGGGCGGTGAACTCGAGATACCTCTGCTGTTCGGTTTATTGGCTGGCAAAGCGGCTGGGCTCTCGACAAGCCACAGAGCCGCCGTTGGCTGCAATGGCGTTCTGCATCAGGACCCATTGTCCTCGGAAAAGACTCCGGATGATGCGGCAAATGAAGCAGAAGGAGAAGAAGGTTATGTGTGACGGCTTCCTATTGTTGCTAGCAGCCACTTCCTATTGTTGTCGGGATCGGGGTGGGGTTCGAGCCTATTGTGCCCCAAATACGGCTTAGCAGGTGCGTTAGTGGGGAGCCATCCTGCCTCCGTGGCTCCGGCAGCAGGCACGGCTGGCGGGCGCGAGAACCAGTTCCCCGGTGTCTCGCCCGCAACCTCTGCCTCCACATTGACCACATCCCCTCCCTCGCGCCTCTGTCGCATCACCAGCCGACGATGCATTTCGTACACTAATCCAAAATACCCGATATACATGGCCGTCACCCTTTTCACCGGTCCCTTCCCTGTTTCATTTTACTGATCCCATTTAACCGCTTCTTGCGCCTTTTAGCTCGACCTGACAATTAGACTGACGCCTCGAACGCCAAATCTGCACGCCATCGCTCTCGCCGCACCCTGAAGTCCAGTCCGGTTTGAAGACGCTACAGACTGCGTCCGCGAGGATCCACATGATCCAAAAAAGAAGCCTGAGATGGTATGCGAGCGACCTATACGTCTGGGCCGTGGTGAACCCGTGATTTGATAGGACCGAGACACATCGTGTTGTGAGACCTAGGAATTATTCACGCAGACATCGGCAGATGGTTCATCATACGATTACTGTCGAATGGAGTTTGTCCAGCAGCTACTGCAATCATGCTCATGAACACCATAAGCCCCCGCCCTATAAGATCCTATTCATCTCATTCATTCATCGATAGCAGCCATCATTCAAGTGAATGCTCAAACTCCAAGCTTACCAACCAGAAGCAACAACAGAATTCCACTGCGAGTCTGTGGCTTCCCATCGGTCCGATATTGACACACGCAGCCTTATTTTCTTCCTTTGCTTTTGTTACGAGGTGGCCCCCAACACAGTTGACAGCCTAAAGGCAGAGACCTACAATGGCTTGCCGCTCGCCCGTCTTCTCTATTGTTATTTTCTCTCCCGATTGTCAGATAGCTTGACGTAGCATGTACACTCGATATGTCACTCCCCGGCTGCCAATCGACTTGACAAAATCTTGCCATGCCCAACGATCAAGCTTGGTCCCTCCACGACTTTAGCTTAGCACGCATGGTTTTTGGTGACGAAGCTAACGAGCTCGATGTCCAGTTCAGGATCATCTTCGGTCGAACGCTAAACGCTCACCCTCGGCCCACCGTCCCAGAACCATCACATCGGTACGAGTCCGTCTTTCAAGGACTCGCGCTGTTTTAGCTCGTGAGTTGCGAGTGTGCGACTAAGGTGCGTCACAGCCGCACGATACCCTACTGACCCCAATTTCTGGACCGGTCCCGCGATGGAAAGCTCCGGAGTCTCGGTAGTTTCTCTGATCACACTCTTTCACTGCTTGTATGGAAAGCCTCGTCAAGCGATGAACTAGTGTACCCTTTGTTAGGGCAGGGATTAACCAGCGTGACTTCCCAAGGCCCTTGGAAACCAAACGGTACCTGGAAGGGATGCACATGAACGCCTCGGGCACCGCCGTGGCATGTCGTAGACCATTTACGAGTTGACCGCATCGAGTCCAGCGCTATCGCGATCCAGGACTCAAGCCAGCCACGAATTTGACGCAGGCCGAAAGCTGAGCTTTCGGCCGAGTCTGGACTCGTGAGTTTCTGCACTGAAAACGGCACAAAACCCTCTTCATTGTCTTGAATTGGTGTCCCCGCTACGCCACAGTCCTGCAATAGCATCATCACGCTGGCATTGATATCTCCGCGCCGAGCACGAGCGGGCTACCGATGCGACTTTGTTCTTCCTGCAGCCGCCTGATGTGGTTACACACACCTCACTGCGCCTCGCTGAGCATTCTCAAAGGTCGCTTGGACCCTGACAAAAATGTTTAGACCGTCGTAAGAACACCATTTCAGGATCGTATCGCGCTGCATGCAGCATGATACCTGGCATGGCAGAGCTTGGCCATGTTGATTCGATGCCCACGCCCGTTTTACATGAAGCTGAGGTCCACACCCAGATCGCTCGCTTGAGACATGTCTGAGAGCCACACGAGAGAGACTCCTAAATGCAGACGCCAAACGCCCAGCCAGTATGCGGATGCAGCGGAGATCAAAGGATTTCTTGCCGTTCATCTGGACAAAGCATGGTTCACTCTTCTCAGCATTAAGCTTGTCCGTTCAATTGCCCGAATCATGAGCCCCAACTTGATCCGGGGCTACTTTGTGATCAAGAAGAAGAGGGCCTAGCATTTTGAGCAGACAGGAAAGCTCGAGTTATGAAGATAGAGTATATATATCAAGCGATGTGACGAACGATACCCAGTATTTGTTCACTTGGGGACTCGGAAAGGTAGGATACACCCACCTCGATCGAACAGCCTGATAACATAACTTCGCTCGCAGGTATACGGCCACCCATCCACGTCTGTATCCAGGCGAGTGCGTCAGCCGCTCTTCTTGCATGCCATCTCCTGGCTGTAATGATTGTGGCTGGGGCAATGAATCATTGGGTCCCTGACCGGCCTGGCCTTTCGTTTTCTTGGGGGGGTCGGGGGGCGACCCTCGCAGATGTCTCGTCGATCGAGCTTCAGCCATGCGTCTCGCTATCGCGGCACACGCAGCCAAGACAAGGGGGGGCTTCGTTACATAGATCACAAGTCCGAAGAGGCAGGAGTGTTTCGAGCAATTCGGCCGATAGCAAAAGTCTATGCTGCGAACGTTAGGGTTTGGCATCGCCCTTCTTCAGTGTTGAAACGTCAACGAGGTCCAGGGATTGCTGCTTTGTTCGTTATTCGAGGCGGGCAGGCAATGAATGGTGGCGCTGCTACTGCGAGTTGGCTCGTTGGTTTCTGGTGCGGTGCGTTGAAGGAGACCAGTGATGAAGGAGAGGGCTGGAGTTGGACCATGTATACGGTTCCGTACTGGCATACAAAGTGGAGGACATCGCGATCGTTAGGCCCAGCACCGTCTCTTCTCAAGTGCCGTGTATTGAAGACTGAAAGTGCCGCGCAGACCTGGGGCGGACGTTGCACTTCATGAAGACGCTTCCGGGGTTGATCTCGATCGTGCAACCACTGCAGTCTGCGCCTTTGTAACGTCGACGTAGTCAATTTTCCCTCGGGCGAAACAGGGGCGAGAAAGGTCGCGAGGATCAGATCGTCTTTCAGACGGATGAAGTCATTCATGAAGCAACCTCTCAGGATCATCGCGTCGAGGCCATTGTTCATCACCTCACCCATCCACTTCATCCTGGCGACTTACTTCAGCCGCAGTTTGCGCACGTCAGTTTTCCTACGATCTGCACTCATAATGAGAAGGTTGGCTGGCGAGTACGTAGTACCAGGCCAAAGTTTTCACACCCTTGTCAAGTACCTCCCATACCCACTACATCGAAT